CGTGAAACACACTCTTGACCGACATTTGGCTTTGTTGACAATCACATTCACAGCAGCATTAGCTCCCCCTTGTGTCAGCTTTGAAATCTACCAATTGTCAATGGGTTATTTTGTGAACTTTGAGTAAATATTGTTTAAACAATGTATGTTTTCCCTCTTTCCCCCACAACTAGGACCTATTGGCACAGAAGCACAACCTGGCACTGAAGAGAGATCATATGCAGGCCGAACTGGAGCACATCAAGGAATGTTTGACATTGCCATTATTACACTGGCACAGAGGATACTACAAGAGACCCTCACCGAGGTGACCTGAAGATGGACGACAGCACGAGCCACAGAGATCAACGCAGCCTCACATCTACTGAACGTGTGATGATTTCAGCTTTGGCATGAGGAAGATACACAAGCTATCAGTCATTATCTAGTGCAATATCTGACGCCTCACTGTGACTCACTGCACTGCAAGTCCAGCCACTAGATACAACAAAATAGGCATTCAACAGCCATCGAAATATCCATTACTTGACGTACAGACTAAATCTGACAGGACGTTTGCCAAGAGGTGCAGAAACCCAAGCCAGAGCTGGATATGATCTCTCATATATTTGGTGCAAAACTCTTCTACTGGATGATGAGCTGATGTGGAATTGAGTTTAAATGTTTTCATATTTATACAGTTTTTAAAGGAATATGATTGTGTCAAATACTGTCAAATCACATTTTTGTATGTTTTTATTCTTAATGATTCATTATAAAAAGGACTGTAATTTGAAATATAAATATTTTAATGCTTTTTGCAGGGGAAAAAATGTGTCGATAAGGTACTGCTGGTCAGAAATGTTGGTGAAGGAAATAATTAAGTGGGTTGAATTGAGTTTTCGTTTCAAAATCTCTTCAAAGGCTTTAGTTTATTAATTGTAGTTGTCAGAAAGTCGTGAAAGTGTTTGTCTAGGACAGTGTTTCTATATGTTTTGTTATTCTCTCTTCATCTCCCACCAAACCAAAATTTCAATGCCATATATATTATCCACCAGTACATGGCTATTTGAAAATAGACACTAAAATAAACCGATCCAATGTGGGAATCACTTAATAATAACTTTTATTAATGACAAATGGCATATAATAGTTAACAGACCAGCAGTTCAATACCCAATATAGCAAGTGCAATATTGAAATAATGGCAATTATGAAATAACAATACAATAATCAACTGCATATTATGTTTAATTTATAAGCTGAATTGATTTCTGAATCACTTTAATTCTAAGATGATTATGAAATGCCACTAATGGGCCTTATGAATTAACATTCTGTTAAACATTATATGCTTATAGTCATGAAAGAAATTATAAAGGATTACCCAAATGTTTTTATGTATAACTTGGCCAATATGATTGAATTTTCAGCCTAGCTGTCATGAGAAGAGTCATTTTATATAGAAATTAGTGCCACACAGTTTTGTACAGCAGCAGCAATTGACAAAAAAACCCACATTGTTTTTGCTCTATTATTAATTATAATCTAAAACCGAACACATTTGATGTGTTGAATTTTAAAGAAATGTCCAATGCCACAAGTTGAGAAGTGTGTGTCTCAAGACGTCTATTCTCCACTTTTTCTTTATGACTCTTATTGCATATTGTTTAAACACGAATGGCTTATGGAAAAAATAGGGGAGGGGGGAATCAGTAAAATGTTTTAGTTGTAATTTTTAGTGGAATGAAATGTGAGTTAATATATTATTTCTTGAAGGTAGAAATACTTATTTATGGATATATCTGTGTATATGCTGAGAAAAGAATAATGTTTGAAAAAAATCATTTCTTGCCATATTTTGTCTACAAAAACTCTCAAGTAATGGACATGATTCATTCACAAGAACATGATCTTCAGTTGTTTCTTGACTCTATATGATTTACAGTGCAGCAAAATAAACAACTTGATATATAAATTATCTCCAGTCTTTATAATATATATATATATTGCATGTATATTTTTTACTGTATTTAACTTGCAGTCTGTTTGTGTTTGCTGTTGGCTATAAAGGTTACCAGGCTGTTTTCGGCAGTGTCGGTTCCTCCTGTCCTGCTTCACATTGTTCTGTTGAAGCTTGTACTACAGTTCATCCCCTGCAGCGTTTTTCATCACAATGCATCTTCTTCAGCTTCGCGTGCGTTCAGTCCCTCAGTCTTCCCAGACCTGAAGGCCACCTCTATCTTGTTCAGCAGGTCATTCAGGTCCTTTCTGATCCACAGCTTGGAAACAATACACCGCCTGTGATGGGAATAATCAGTCTGTACAAGCGTTTGCAGAGGTTTCCCCATAAAAAAGTCAATTAACTTCTTGGTTGGTCTGGTAAACTACTAGTTCACCCTGAAATTAATATATAATAACATTTTCTCACCCTTGTGTCATAGCTTGCTTTTTTCCATGAAGCACCAAAAATACATTTATGATGAGTCCTGTTAAAGTATCATAAAAGTGGCACATATGACTAATGAACTATTCTGAATCCATATGATAGTTTTGTGTTAAAAAACAGACCAAAACTTTAGCTATTAATCACTGAACATCCACCCGAACCTACTTTATGTCGGATGAACAAACAAACGAATCATTCTTTGGACCCTGATTTTTTTTTAAATGCTATTCACACGTGATTCATTCAGGAATCAAATCCATCCGGACTGAACTCGATGAACTAACTGCAACTTTTTTTTTTTACTAAACAGTACAGACATCAAACCATTAAAACAATACAGTTATAAACAAAGACAACATAAAAGAAAGAGAAAATTAGAAGATACATAGGCCTACAGACTTGTTGCCAGGATAAAAAAACTTAAACTTAATATAGCCTACAATTACATCTCAAGGACGAATATAAAGATACAGTTTTCAATGCTTTCAAAAGAACAGATCTTTGGATAGTTTCCACTTGTCCAAGTCCACTTTGAATAAAGAAAAAAGAAGTTTAGAGCCAGCAAACTTAGCCAACAACAAATACAAATTAATGATGTAATATTTCCCCATATTCTCTTTTGAGTATTCAAATAATCCAAAGAAAGCATCTTTAAAACACCAACTGAGACTTGACTTAGCCAAGAAAAACGTCTGGGTTATGCATGTAACCATGGTTCCCTAGGGGGCACATTGGGGAATGCTGCCTGCATGACCGGTGTCTGAAGCATGTGTGAAACAACGCCAATCTATTGGTCCACCTGGCCCATGACGTCATAGTTGTGCTCTTAACTTGACTGGGACGTTCCCCTTGATCTAATCGGGTTCCCCATGTATGCCAAGTTGTGTGAGCGGCCTGTGGCGTCAGTGGCATGGCCCCTTTCTGAGGAAAGGCTTGGTGTATGTCTGTCGCTTCCTTGGTGCTCTCCCACCAGGTGGATAGGCATGTGCCTCAGCACAGCATGGTTGGATTTCGTTCCCCATTGTGCCCCCTAGGGGGCGCAGCATGGAGTTCCCTAGAAGGGGAACGTCTCGGGTTACGCATGTAACCATGGTTCCCCAAGAGGGACCGAGACGCTGTGCCCCCTTGCCATGCCTTCGACCTGCCTGTTTACGTCTCCTTCAGACAGCTAAATGGATGACATATTCAGCAGGTGCCCTTTTATACTTCCGGGCACCCCGCCTATGTGGACCAATAGATTGGCGTTGTTTCACACTGCTTCAGACACCGGTCATGCAGGCTGTGTTCCCCAATGTGTCCCCTAGGGGCCGCAGCATGGCGTTCCCTAGAAGGGGATCCTAACCTATTTACTCATTCTTTTGAGTCGATCTTTTCCAGCTGATCTAGTTCACAAGTGATTCACTGAACCGGGCTGATCCGGTTCTCGAGTTCATTCAGATTCCCGCTGAGATAAAAGACTAGCGTGTTTAATATGATATTTCCTCAATTAGCTGTGCAGTTGACAAATAACATTAACTTTGAAATCGGATTCATAGTTCTATACAAGTGAATATTTAGACGCTAGTGGTAACCATTTTTTCCCCACAAACTTAGGCGATGTTAACTGACTGCTTTCTCTTGTTAGACATCCTCACAGACCACAATATCTGCCGATTCTTCATTCGAAGCAGGACGCCTAACTTCTTGCCTCCCGTCTGCGCTATTTTTAGTTACTGGTAATGTACACATGCTTCAGACAGGTGTTTTTTAACGTTATGTAGCGTTTCGCAGTTGTTGCCGCGTCGCACACCAATCGTGTCAGTTAAAAATAGCATAGTTAAAGTTTTAAAGGGGTCATATGATGCTTTTTTTAAAGATCATTATTTGGTGTAACAGAATATGTTGACATGCTTTAATGTTCAAAAAACACATTATTTTTCAAATACTGTACATTATTGTAGGTCCTCTATGCCCCGCCTCTCTCAAACGCTTCGTTTTCTACAAAGTCCCTCCTTCCGACAAGCGCAGTATGCTTCAACACTAACTGCGGTTACAGAAACCACGCCTTCTTTCTTTGCGTGCACATTTGGGCGGCATTATGCAAATATTTCCACATAGTGAGGTAGACATGTGGGGGCGTGTTAGAACGAGCCGTTTTAGGGGGCGTGGCAGAGTCTTAACTTTGATAAAGAATATCTCTTTGGTTTTGAGACTTTAGTCTTTGCAACTTCAGGGATCTTATCTATGCACAATCAGCTTGTAACACTCCAAAGAGAAAGGAAAACTTGAAATCGCATCATATGACCCCTTTAAAAGCACCCCTGGTGCTCATCTCACAGCGCCCCGTCCAGCTGTATTTCACAGGAGACCACGTCTTATGTGAACGCCTGCGTACCTGTTCAGAGAAGAGCTCAGGTAAACCGGACCACGTGACCCTGTATTCCCAGTACAGTGATTGTAGGCGACAGACTCGGTTTAACCTTCCGCGTTTACATGCAGCTGGTCAGCGAGACATGTCACCTCCAGTCTCTGTTTGAGTTTAACTTAATCACACGAGCTGTTTTACTCGAATGAAAGGATTTAGGAGAGGGCTGCGATGTGGCGTTGTCTTTTGATTCTCTATCTGACATGTCTCGCGTTTACTCAGTCTGCGGGTAAGTATCTATCTATCTATCTATCTATCTATCTATCTATCTATCTATCTATCTATCTATCTATCTATCTATCTATCTATCTATCATCTTCTGGGGATATTTAAGGGAGCGCGAGCTAGTTGTCACAATTTTTACTATAGTGAATATTAGTGTTTTTCAATTTCCGTGTAGACAAACTAAAGCATTTTCTACAAAATTGTGTTTTTATTTTTACGGCTATTGCCTCTGTAAAAAGATACGGTTCATTTAATACATTGACCTTTTGTGGGGCATGTTGTATGTATTATATATTAAGTTGTGACAATGGAATCTGCCATTAAACAGCCTATTATAGGTTTTTTTAAGGGAAATTTGGTAACACTTTATTTCGATAGTCCGCTTTAGACATTCTATTAACAGTAAGTAACTTTGCAACTACATGTCAACTAGCAGTTAGTAGAGTATTAGTAGACTGTCTGCTTAATATCTTCTAACACTTTCTTTGTCAACTTATTCTACTAACCCTAAACCTACCCTAACAGTCTACTCTGAGAGTTAGTAGACATGTAGCTGCAAATGAATGAGAATTAGTTGACATGTAGTTACAAAGTTACTTGTAGTTAATAGAATGTCTAAAGTGGACTATCGAAATAAAGTGTAACCGGAAATGTAAAAGTGAAACAAACAAAAATCCTGAAACAGTACAATAAAAATTTACAAAAATCGCAAGTATTGTAATGAATTTTAAGTGATCATTTAAAACATGTGACAATTTGCCCTGTTTGAACATTTGAAAACTCCTCTTGTAAGAACATGGTTCAGCCTTTATGTATCATATGTTTACATAACAAATATATGATGATGGCCTGATGACCCCTTACACTGAAGCTGTTTTTCCGGTTAATATTGTTCATCTCATCCATGCAAGCATTAATTTAGTACCTTGTTTGTCTACCAGGATAAAACCCTCTCAACCTGTAATGGGAACTTTGTACCTGGTAAAGGCCTGTTTAGCTCAGCTGCTCCTGATTAATGATTGAATGAAGTTACTGGCTGCAGTGCAGAACAATGATCTTACTTAAATATTACACAGTGAAAAGATCTGGTGCAATAGGGACTATTCAGTGCTGACGGATCAAAGATATTAAAAATAGTTGTAATTACCCTTAAACAGTTGTGACTAGTGTTATAACCCATGGTTATATAGTAATACTGTAAAATCCTATCAAATGCATTCATACAGCATAAAGCATTTGTCAAACCTGTTGTCATGATGATACACATATCGCTCTTCCGCCTATATGAGCTTTCACATGTTGCTGTTTTTTGCATATGTAAAGCATCTGTGATCCATCATGTGACTGACCTACATTGGTAAAAGGGGTCGTAAAGTGAGCAATGCAGTGTAAACTTGATCTGGAACAAGAGTATGTTCTGCTTTGGTCAATATTTGCTTTCGTGACATTGTTTTCCTTCTTCTGCCAGTCTTTTCCTGCCTCTGAATCCTTGGTATTGACATTATTAGTTTAGCTGACATATTTGTCCAAAGGCACTTACAATACAGTATTTTCTAGATATTAATTGATCACTATTTTCATTGCCTGGGAATTGAATCTTTGACATTCCCAGCACTGTGCTCTGCCAGTTGAGTTACAGGAAATACTTGCTATTGTTTCTTCCTACTTGCTTTGAATACATGCAAATTTTGTTCTGTACTTTCAGTTTCATGCTTGGATACTTTATATCTATCTGGATATCGAAGATATGAGCTGTTAAATGTCAGCTTTAAGAACTGGTTGAAGGTGTAAGCATTTTATAATGGATATACAGTTAATCTGACTTTACATCATAGATTGCCCACTAAATCATGACTGAAAAACATGACTTTACACAAGTACGCAAATGCTGGGTTGGGATATTGCAAGCACACTCTACATACTTAACCTACTAAACCTAGTATACTAGAAAACTGGGATGCAGCACCGATAATCTTATGACCGATAACCGATAAATGAACGATATTGAAATTCTATACAATTTTGTCTAAATTAATTTAAAATAAAACACATAAACTCAAATTTAAAGTTGATAGTCATCACAATATTATAATGTACAGTATGAAAATGGAACAGCCAATAGATTATAGACAATGGAACTTTTTTGTCCGCAAAATTTCAGCGAAATTTCTGTAATGTGATCGCACATTAAATCATTTTTAAATGATCTTAAAGTTATAAATTAAAGTTAAAATTAAAACTTAAATTAAACAGTAGATGACGGCAAAGGTATTCTAAATGTCAAGTGCGTACAATTACATACCTGATATTGACCAATACTGATAAAAAAATTTTTTTTAAATTACCCAATTACTGATAACATACTGGATATTTTAAATCCATTCTACTAAACCTGAGGACTCAGGCGGCAAACTGTTGGCATTTTAGCCAAGGTATACTTCATTTTTTACGCAAATGCTTAGCGTATACATATCACTAAACACCTAACCTTTCAAATTGTACATATGGTTTAATAAAATAGTAGTAAATATATGTTTAATAGCGTGTGCAAACACAAGTGCTCGACACATGCACTAGATAGTTTCCTTGTTCGATGTTTGCGTTATTTCTCTTGCAATGTTATGAGCGATAACAATACTTTGTACTCCTTGCATTTATCTCTGAACCCCCAACCCCCCAAAACGAATAACACGGGTGTCTATTTTTGTTGTATCTCCAGTAGTTTGTTGTTGTTCGGCTTCTTCCTTTTCTTTTTCGACTGTGAAAAAATGGCTTGGACCAGTGTCGCCATCTTGTGGACAAATTAATTAGCGACAAAAAATTAAAAGTGCTGTGTGAGCCACACAGAGTATGCATGGTTAGAAAAATCTAGCTTTGCATGTACAGTACCCAAGTTCTATTCTGATGATGAAATTTAATTCATGCACTGTAGCGATACTCTATTGTACACATAAAACTATAAGTAGGCCTACAGTATATGGTATAAGTATACTTTAAGGTTATATCTCAGCCCTACTGTTACATATGAATTCGAAATCACATCTGATCACTTGCTGCTCATTGTTTATGCCACAGCTGACCTGTGGGGTCACTGGATTTGTTATTAAACCGCTCATTAGAGAGGGTCTGGGCTATTTCTTCCCTCACTTCCCTTTTCCCTTTTCTTGGAAAGGTGTTTTCTATCACATCACATAGAAATAAATTAACAACTGTCTTACCTCAAATCCTCAGAGATCATGTGTACAGTGTTTGTCAAAGGTCAAACTGACTGTCCTGACCTGATTATCTTGCGTATGACCAATACAAGCAGTCCCAAAGTTTGTTGGTTGAAGGATTTATGGACCTACTTCCAAACTCTGCCCATATTGGAGTTTCCCAACCATGTTCCCGGGAATCTACATGTACAATATTTATGTTGGCAGTGATGTCTATTAATGGACACCTTGATGGGCATGTCACCAGCCAAGCTTTCAAATGAACCTTCATAATGAATGACCATTAAATTAACTTTTTATGAACCCATTTCCGTTTTATAGCATAAAATACCATATCCATGTTGGCAGATGTAGAAATGTTTCTCAAACATGGAAATATGAAGCAGTGCTGATGAGAAACAGCCTCACCTGTGGGTTTCACTCATCTCTCCTGAGATTAGATATCCTCCACAAGACTCAAGCAAGGTTACGCCAAATAAAGAAGTCATTGTTTTTAGCTGAGCGACATTCATGTGTGCACATCTACCTGTATAAAGAATCTAGCAGTTTACTTGGCACAGAGTGAAGTTTTATCCATTGTAACACACTGATACTCACTTATTTCTTGTCCCCCCCCCCTCTCAAAACAAAGATCCGCTTTGTAGCAGCGTTCCAGAGTTCAAGCATGATCAAACTCAGTCGGTTTCGGCGACGTTTGGCCACAGCGTGGTCCTCACCTGCACAGCCTCCATAGGTTTAAACCGCACCAATTCAGACTGCAAAGACCTCCTGGAGTGGATAAAAGATGGCACACCGCTTACCAACCTCACCTACTCTGAAGATGTAAAAGACTGGTGGGTATATGATGCAATACAGTGCCAAATACTGAATACAGGCAGTGTATCGGTTATTAAAAAATATTGAAGTGAAAACATATGAAAGAGATTTAGTAACTTTAGTAACTTTATTTTGTGAAATTAATCACTATGGGTGTGTTCTAAATACTAGCGTACTGCATACTGTGCAGTAAACTATGGCAGCCTGGTTGCGTCAGAGAATAAAAAAAAATTAATAAAAAAAAAGGTAATTGTGACTTTTCTCAGATTTCTAAGTTTATATCTTACAATTATTACTTTTTTGCAATTTTGAGAATTACAAAATATGAACACAGAATTGCAAGATATAAACTAACAATTGCAAGAAACAAAATCTGAATTGTAAGAAAAAGTCACAATTTTTATTTTTGTTTTTGCGATTTTTTTATTTATTTCTGAATTGAGACTCAAAAAAGTCAGATTTGCGATTTCATCATGCAATTTTGAGAACAAAAAAGTTTGAATTGCAAGATACAAAGTCAGAATTGTGAGATGTAAACTCAAGAAAGAAAAAAAAGTCAGGATTCAGAGTTAATATCTCGCATTTTAAAGTTTTTGGGAGTTGAAAGTTAAAATTTCACAATTTTGAGTTTATTTCTCGTAATTCTGAGTTTATATCTCACAAATTTTTTCGTAGAATTGTGAGAAACAAAGTCTGAATTGTAATATACTGTATAAAACCAAGCACTGCGAGGAAAAAAGTTTAGATTGTGAGATTTTTTTCTTCTCATTTATTTCAGCAGAAGCCACCCATGTTTGTTGGCAATAAAAAAAATGGCTTGTTTTAAATTCATTTTTAAGCAGATTTTCTTTAAAGAAGTTTCTTTTCACCATTTAATTAAATAATCAGTGGTCCCACTTTATATATATTTTTTTTTATGTAACTACTATGTACTTACATTTAAAATTAAGTATAACGTACTTATTGTGTTCATATTGCATTTGTGTGGTGTGATACGGGTAAGGTTAGGGACAGGTTTGGTGGTATTGGTAGGTTTAAGGGTGGGTTAAGGTGTAGGGGATGGATCAACAGTGTAATTACAAATGTAATTACAGAAATTCATTACAGATGTAGGTATTTTTTTAAGTCAAGCAGATTGCATTGTGGGACATACTGTATGCACCTCACAGTGTACTCTTGTTGTATATAGCATATTTTGGCATTGTACATCATCAGTTTTTTCTGAATGCATAAAATTTGCATACTCTGTGTAGTACACTTACTAGGGAAATACTATGAGTAGTATGCTAGTATGCTATTTTGAACACAGCCGATACTAATGCTTGAAAACGAACTTCATTTCAAAGCACAAATTAACTAGTTTAAGTCAAAATATTATTCAATATTCCTCACTCTAATAAATGTAAACACTTGGCAGGTACCCTGATGAGGGTCACATCATTAAGAGCAGTGAATTAACACTGACCCTGACAAATCAGGCCGATTTTGGTGTGTATTTCTGCGTGGTGAGGAACAGCACAGCGCAATTCAACGTAAAGGAATACAGTAAGAAACTAATTATTTACTTTAGTCTTTTAATATCGCCTACTTCAATATTATACAATGCATTCTCATATTCTTCATCCATTTATCCTTACAAATGCTCTAAAATTTTTATATAAAGTGTAAATTATATTCAGATTCTTTCTGTGTACTTGAAAATAAGGTTTATCCCATCTTTTATGCACAGAATCCCCAAGTCACACTGGGGCAGTGGTGGCATCGGTGGTCCTGCTGCTTGTGCTCGCTCTGGCAGCGGTGGTCTATTCCAAGTACCGACTCAACTTTAAACTGTGGTATAGGAACATTTATGGAGAGTATGAGCTCAATGGTTAGTCTGTATTCTGTATGTTAAAACCCTTTATCATCTGTGGTAACATATTGCATTTCATTAGGGATGCACGATATATCGGCCACCATATCGGTATCGGCCCATATCGGCTCATTTTTTCTGTTATCGGTATCGGCCTGATAAGAAAATTTGGCCGATATCTTAAAGCCGATAAATAATGCATTATTTCCTTCAGAGACACTTCAGATGCGCGCTGTTCGTTTGCAGCCTTTTGTGCAATTGTACATTGTAATATTGTGTTTATTTGATGTATATCTGATGTATCTCATATAGAATGCGTTTGGTAAAGTTAAAAGAGCGCTTCAGTTTACCAGTGATCATCTTTAGCTCAGCACACGCAGCCCAAACAGCAGTGCACAACATTAATAACTATGATTGGGAATGTCGTGTATATAACATTCTAATGAGAACATTATTATAATAAAACGTTGTGAATTCTTTGGGTTTAGTTGCTGTGTTTCAGTGCGTTGTTATGGGAAGAGCGCATCCACAACAGGATCACACATTCTGACTATAGCATGCAATAACTGCGTCATTTGTCATTTCATATATAAGTTGTAATATTATGTTTATGTTGTATTAATATTAATCTCAGGATGCATTTCCTTGAGTTAAATAAGCTGCCAGCAAAACGCTTCAGTTTACCGTGTTCATTCAGCTCTTCAGCTTCAGCTTGAGCTGCAGCTCAATGGCTGCTATTTAAAACAGTGGTATTAATTTGTTACTTTTTCAAAATCATTGATATATTATTAATAACAACAACCACTTGTATTTTTCTCTTATTATTTTCATCAACAATATGGTTTAGTAATTAAAATCATTTAATTATTGTCCGTGCAGAGGCTATTCCGTTTTATTGATCTATGGCGCATTCATTTTGATTCTTTACATGTGTAATGATGTCCAGTGACTTGTTTGCATTATTTATGCATTATTTTATTTATTTGTAAGACTTTTTTATGACTAAATTTGGTAATGGGAGAGTAAAAATATTTTTAAAATGTACACCGTTCAAACTAGGCTGCTTATGTTGAAGTGTTTGGGATGTGGCTTTTAATGATGAGACCTTTTTTGTAATCAGGCTCTCAAAAAGTATATAACAATTTGGATATAGATTTATCGGCCAACATATCGGTTATCGGCTTTCAAAAATAAAGAATAATCGGTTATCGGTATCGGCCAAAATTTTCATATCGGTGCATCCCTACATTTCATGATGATTTTTTGCTGTTTCTCAGATGGCAAAATGTGTGACGCCTACATCTCATATGTCAGCAATGAGAATGACAGGAAATTTGTCAACTTCATCTTGAAACCTCATTTGGAGAACAAGTACAGTCATAAACTGCTGCTCAATGATACAAACATCCTTCCTGGAGCCGGTAAATCTCACGAATGAAATCTTAAATAAACAGTGCATAATATACATGCATAAAGGTATATATTAAAGGGTTAGTTCACCCAAAAATGAAAATTAGCCCACAAATTACTCACCCTCAAGTCATCCTAGATCTTTCAAGCTGTTTAATGCCACTCAGCGGGTGTTGCATGCATCAGTCCAAAAGAAGTTAAATAAAAAGTGCCCATCCATTAAAAAAAGTGTCTCACACGGCTCCGGGGGGTGAACAAAAGCCTCCTGTAGTGAATCGATGCGTTTTTGTAAGAAAATATCCATATTCAAAACGTAATAATCACTTGAATCTAGCTTGCGCTCACTGTTGTAAACAGAAGCAGTTCCGGGCGGATGACGTATGAGGTCGGCTTTGCGCATGTGCCGCTCAGAAGTGACAAACGCGGAAGCGCAGCGGAGAGATCAAAACAAAACAACGGTCACTTATTAGAAGTACAAAATGAGGATTTGTAAAGAAGAATGTCAGAGGATTTGGATATAAGCCAAGAGGAGACTGGTTTTCCTTTGCTAAAGTAAGGAAACTTTGCTTCTTTTGATCCTGTAAACAAACGTTGGTTTTCACGAGACTCACCGGCGCATGCGAAACGCTGAACTCATACGCCATCCTCCCGGAACTGCTTCCAGTGTACAACTGTTGGCGCAAGCTACATTAAAGTGATTATTACGTTTTGAATATGGATATTTTTCTTACAAAAATGCATCAATTCACTACAGGACGCCTTTGTTCACCTCCCGGAGCCTTGTGAGACACTTTTTTTTAAATGGAAGAGCGCTTTTTATTTAACTTCTTTTGGAATGAAGCATGCAACACCAGCTGAGTGCCATTCAACAGCTTGAAAGATCAAAGACCATTTTTAATATAACACTGACTGGATTCGTCCGAAAGAAGAAAGTTAGCTTCAGTGGCCATAACTAAAAAGACACATTTTACAATGTGTTGTTGATTTATATGTACTGACAAAACATTAAAAGTAAAAATAGCAAGAGATCTAAATTAATTGTAATCTGTATTCCTTTCTTAATTAATAAATATGTCATCTTATGTACAGTATATTTCACATTGCATAATTCATAATTCAATTGAAAATAGTTTGTGGAACCTGTGATACATTTATTCCAGGATTCTTTTTTGATCAATTTAATGCATTTATTTTCAAATCAAACTAGTAAATAACATGAAAATTCATCCTTTTTAATTAATTTTTTCTCCTTTTTAATTAATAAATATATTATTGTATTCTTTTTTTAATTAATAAATATCTTATTGTGCATGATTAGTGTAAAGAAATATGTTTTGTGGTCAAAATCTTTCACGATCATTTCATTATGAAACAAACTTTTAACAAAATATAAAAACTTTCTCTGACTCTGAAACAACTTTTCTCTTCCGTTGATTTAACCAAAGCCATGTGGGCGGGAAGAATAATATTAACCAATAATAGTGACCTAACATGTTCTCACACTCTAATGATCAAATCAAATTTGAGAGAAATTTTTTAAAATTAGGTTCCACCCTACATTATTTTTCTTATTAAAATTTTATTTTCTTAATTTTCTTCTTAGATGTTTTTAAAATATATTTTCATAGTACATCAGACTATTTCAAAAGATTAAGAAACATATGAGCTTTAATGTTAGATGCTGTTTCATGTTCAGGCAGGGTTTGTGGCACTTGATGGAGCTGTCGAGGAAGCCCATCTTCATCATATTTCAGTCGCAGCAGAAGCAAATGAGCCAGGACATCAGTCATCAGCTGAGACAACACCAGCCCCGAATCACGACCCTCACCTGGGGCGCGCACTCCATGGTCAGACCCTCGCAGTGCTCAATACATCCGAGAGATTTGGGGTTAAACAAGCCTAATCATTCTCATTCCCTTCCCACAGACCCCTTCTTCAGGCTTCTGGAAGGAGCTGGCACTGGCGATGCCGCTTAAGGTGACGTTTCACAGGGAATCTGCCGGCGATCCGCAGACTCTGCTGCAGGGCGATAAAGATCCCATGCTCACGCAGCAGCCCGATTACCTGGACTGCAGACCGGACCCCGATCCCGCAGGAGACCTGGGTAAGAAATGTGCTTCTTCAGTTTATCTTCATTCAGTTTCATTCCAACAGTGACATTTGATCTGGATTACGCTTCCTTTAAAGAGTTAATTCACCCAAAAATGAAAATTCTGTCATTAATTACTCACCCTCATGTCGTTCCAAACCCTTAAGACCTTCGTTCATCTTCGTAACACAAATTAAGATATTTTTGATGAAATCCGAGAGCTTTCTGACCTTCCATAGACAGCAATGCAACTGACAAGTTCAAGACCCAGAAAGGTAGCAAGGACATCATTAAAATAGTCCATGTGACATCAGTGGTTCAACCTTAATGTTATGAAGCTATGAGAATACTTTTTGTGTGCAAAGAAAAGAAAACGGAGTAGTGCAAATAGCCCGTCTTGTTGGCAGAGGCCACACCAACGTGTGATTGGGCTAGCCAACACTACAAAAGAGGGCCATTGAACGACAGCTTCAGTGGCATAGTTGGTAGTGCGTACTGTAGTCTTTTTGCCAAACTTTTTTTCTCCCTTTCAAATCTCATATCACATCGGAAAGGCAATTATTTTCAATAAAAATGAAGGAAATAATCAAAAAGGTGAAAATGCAGTATCAGGTAGGGTTAGGGTAGGTGTAGGGAGGGCTTTATTGTCCCAAAAAGGTGGCATCCGTTTAATAATTTGAATTAAAATTATTATTTACACTCAATATGTTATTACTGCATAAGACAAGCTTGTATTGGAGATTATAAAGAAATAATCCTGTAGAAAATTTGAAAGCAGATGATTTATATTATGTGTGTGTCATCTTCAGAGCCGTCTGCAGAGCTGCTGATGAACATTAGTCGCTGTCGCCGGCTGATTGTTGTTCTCTCTCAGTCGTACCTGGAGCAGGAGTGGTGCACGACCAACTTTAGGTAACATCTACAGTGTATTTGCAGTACTTCACGTTGTTTATACTATCTCCCACTCCACCCTGCTTATATATATATATATATATATATATATATATATATATATATATATATATATATATATATATATATATACTACAAAAGAGGGCCATTGAACGACAGCTTCAGTGGCATAGTTGGTAGTGCGTACTGTAGTCTTTTTGCCAAACTTTTTTTCTCCCTTTCAAATCTCATATCACATCGGAAAGGCAATTATTTTCAATAAAAATGAAGGAAATAATCAAAAAGGTGAAAATGCAGTATCAGGTAGGGTTAGGGTAGGTGTAGGGAGGGCTTTATTGTCCCAAAAAGGTGGCATCCGTTTAATAATTTGAATTAAAATTATTATTTACACTCAATATGTTATTACTGCATACTGTTTTATAATGTACTACAATACTAAAAGTGCAAATAATTGCCACTATTTGCAATAAGTTGTGTAAATAGCAGAAAATCATGCTATTTTAACATAGTGTAAATAGAATCTATAGCTATTTGCACTTAGTGTAAATAGCACATCGCTAAAAAATACTGCTATTTGCACTTAGTGTAAATAGCATCTACTGTATTGCTATTTGCACTTGGTATAAATAGCCTCTGTTGCAATTTAAAGTGCAAATAGCCGCTGCCAAAACAAAATTAACGACTTTATTCAACAATTTCTTCTCTTCTGTCAGTCTTTGACACGCGTCTACACTAAAACAAATTATACTAAAGTAGTTGCAAACAATTTATTTAAAAAAAATGTTGAAAGTCAACTAAATTTGTTTATTTAAATGTAGCTAAAATAAATTGATTGCTTTTCAGTGTACGAGAGTGCCACGACGAAAATTTACATTACAAGCTATCAGAATTTCATCTTATTTTTTGGCCCTATAAATACCAGCAGCTGCAGGAAATTGCGTATTTTCAAGTTTGCCTATAAATTATAACATTTAATTGTAAATATGAAATGTGTTTCCTTCACAGGTTTCCATTTGCCCATCTACAAGACCCTTCCCTCCAGAGCTCCTGTGCTTCCTGCAGATCCAGGTGTGACGGCTGAACCCAAACCCCCAGAGATAGACGTGTCTGACCTCGGCTTGAGGAACTACGCCGCACGCACTGACTTTTACTGCCTGGTCACTGAGGATGATATCTGAGACACACGCCTGTTCTTTTTTGCACTTTTAAGTCACTTTTAGCCCAATGATTTCTTGTTACTGTCACTGTTTCCTTTGTTTTTGTTTATCTACACCTGTACGATTATGCGTGCACAAAATTCTTTATACTTTTATGCAAAATGTTTTATAACATTTCATGTACAGTCCTAGGGATTTTGGTTCTGTATATATTTTAATAAAGTTGTGGGGTCTGTGTAAATGTGTTCGTGTCTCCTTCCCTACTATATGGTAGGCGAAAAACACTGTGTTCATAGTATTCATAAAAACTTTAAAACTGAGATAGAAAAAGCATGGATGAGATGGAAACTATACAACACTTACATACACTCCACAACTCTTACCTGTAATATACAACTCTTACTAATAGTATTTTTTCCATCCTTCAGTGCAGTGTTTTTCAATCCTGGTCCGATTGTATGTGTCTCTTATCTGACACACTCAGGATTGAAATCCACTGCTGTAGTGAAATACTTTTCTCCCACTACACTTACCTGCACTCTGATGAGAGTAATTAACCCTTAGCAGTGACTGAATCACTTAAACACTTTTCAGCAGCGCATCTCTTGACTGCAGCAACGTTTCTGGAGAACCCTACAGCAAAAGAATTAAAATGTGCAACAAGGTAAATAAATACATTAAATGTATTAATGATATTTTGAAGTTTGCTTTTATACTGCAATAATATAACACTTTCGATCTATTTTACTCTAATACGGACCCAAAAACACTGTTTTGTGTGTGTTTACTGTGTAATGTTAATGGCAAGATGCTGAGCGCCACCTTGTGTCTGTATCAAACTGCAACTGTATTTGAATCACAACATAATTTATTCAGCCATGTAATATAATATACAATATACAGTATTTTTATTCTGTTGTCTTAAGTTTAGATGACTGCAAATTTAAACGTACATACATTCTATCTCTAGGTTATTGATAAAATGAACATGAGCAACCTATGCTAATATAGGCGTGGCTAGCTAGCATACGAAATTTGATCATGGCTGCAACATCGGGGCAATTGTAACATTGCGTTACAGTTGCTCCCAACAAGCCACATAGCCCAGTGTAACGCTCCTTGTTTGTCTGTGTGTTAGGCGAAGCTACGAGAATACTTTTTAATCAAATAGGCCTACTCGTTGATTAGGTATTGGGGAAAGCCGCGCATGCATTGTGGTACTCTCCAAAAAGGCAGGAGAAGAACTGTTGAATAAATTGTTACTTTTGTTTTCTTTGTGCACAAAAAGTATTCTCGTAGCTTCGCAAAATTTAAGTTGAGCCACTGATGTCACATGGACAGTTTTATCGATGTCCTTACTACGTTTCTGGGTCTGGGAACATTTCAGTTGCGTTGCTGTCTATGCAGGGTCTGAGAGCTCTCCGATTTCATCAAAAATATCTTAATTTGTGTTTTGAAGATGAACGAAGGTCTCACGGGTTTGGAACGACATGAGGGTGAGTAATTAACGACAGAATTGTCATTTTTGGGTGACCCTTTAAATTAACCCGACAATGGCATGGTAAGTGACTGGTTTAATTTGGTTTGCATCCATACCACTAGGTGTCAGCATAAGCCAGCACAAAATATCCAGCCAGCACAGGAGTCCTCCTGCAGAAGGCAGCATAATAACATCAGCCATTTATTAACATGTGACTTTTGCGTTAACAGCCTAAAACCATAATGTTTAAACTAACACAACCTATATAACCTTCTTTAAGTTTAAGTCCTGAATGGAAGATTAAGGACTTTACTTTTTCTTCAAAAACTGCCATCAGTGAACACTAGCAAAAGAACAGTCTGTGACACTCAGTTGTGGATGTGATGTAAACACTGAATGTTTTGTACCCTGTAATTTGCTGTGAAGCACATAGCTCATAGCTGCCCTTTATTTTGCCGGGAGCTATTTGACGTTGAAGTCAAAATTCGTAAAATGTTAAACATGCAGTACTAAGAAAGGCCTTGTTGTGATTCAGATGTCATCAATACGTACTTTTACTCAGAATATACAGACATTTTAGGACAGTCTATGATTTAGAAATGTTGTAAATGTGGCGGCTCGTGAGTAAGTCATCGGGTTTTGCAGTAGGGTGTGGTAGATGATTGTTCATGTCGAAGCAGAGAGAAAGTATGTAAATAAGGGTGGGCCGACATTAGGACAGAAACAGAAAACAGAAAAGGACAGGGTGGGATAAAGACACTTTAACCGTTTTTGCTGACGTGTGACAAACAAACTGGGCTGAAATCAGCATGAATGGGAATTTCTGTTACGAAACACCACTTTTTTTTTTTTTTACATAAATGCAAATGAGTATATTTTTAGCGTACTGTCTCTTTAAAAGATGCTAATACAGGATTTGTTTTCTGAAAAAAAATCAGTTTGACAAAAACACAAACTCTATTTCCTTTTTATTGTTTTTTTTTTATATGAACATAGATCTATGACACTCACGCGCATGCATTTTACAATGAAATTATGATGAATTAAAAAAATATACTAGACATTCGATCATCAAAGACTTTGAAAAGAGAACATTCCATGCATTCTTAAAGGTCGGAACGTTCAAGACCTCTCTGCAGAATCAAGTCTCCATCCGGTAAAAGCATGTCTCAAATATTTAAAGACTGCAAATCATACACTATTTCTATTTCATACACACCGGATTAAATATATTTTGGAAGCGTACCAACCCAAACCAAACATTCAACATCCATAATAAAAAAAGTTTATACAAAAAAGAAAAAAGAAAAAAAAGAACACTACATGCGAGTAGAATTGCTTACTATAAAAATTAATGCACATATTGCACCATATACAATTACGAAAAATAGAAAAATTCGTAAGTGAACAGAAATGATCTATATGAATTTGGCATATAGTGATGTTTCTTTGTAAAAACATAATCAATTTAGTCAGTGGGTTTAAATGCAACATCTCCATTCAAACATTCAGATGGTATTTTACCATGTGTCCTCATATCATTATAGTTATTATTTGTACACTAAATAATGACACATACTATCTGTACATAGCAAAACACCAAAAAAAGAAGAAAACCCACTAGATTTTAAATCAGACTGGTAAGAAATAAGCAATTCTGTTATGACAAGAAGGCTGATTAACAGCCCAAATCTGTCCGGCCTGTGTTTACAGCATTTATGTGTATTACAAAACATATAAAAATCTTCTTAGATCATCTAAACCCACACAATTCCAATTTGCCAGCTAAAATGTCTTCCCTACCATCATAATACAGATATTTTTCTACAAATATCTAACAAAAGCAACAGTTTTTAAAAGACAGATTAAATTCCTAAGATATAATTATTATATCATGGATAGTTTGAGTTTCTGTATATTAATAAAAAAAAAATACAGGCAACAGCCAGTATAAAAAAAAGACATTGCAATAAATCCCTGAGGATTTTTGGGAAAAATAACAAAAATACGAGGCTAAATAGGAAGTGATCGTCCTATACAGTAACAATAAAGTCTTGTGTGTGTTATCCACTTTTCAGAATATTTATTTTGCCGGTGTTCCGGTTGTGTTTTCCTTATCCATTGTCCTTATTAAATATCTTCTTGTTTGACAATATAATCCATTCAGAAACCCATGTCTGAAAAGTCTTCTTTCTGATACCCTTTCTGTAAAACACAAAGCAAAAAAAACACCATGAGTGAGTGACGCTTTTAATCTTACATGCACATAGTTGTTCCAGTTAGCACACTGGCTAGCATCCCAGATTTGAAGTAGAAGACAGAACACGTTTTATTTTTTTAACCGGTGGCGTTGTATGGTGTGTTAGGACATGCTCACGAGGAAATCACCCGAAAACCACATCGCAGGGTGTGGCTGAACGTCTCCTTCCCATATCAACACGCTTTAAGTATGTATGTTTGTGTATTTTGTAAATAAGCTACTCAAATATGTGCGTGTTCTTTCCCATCTGATTACCCAGTATGATATGTGTTCATTCGCGTGCTTGTCTTCAAATAACTGGAAAATGTCTAGAGGGCGGGGCGGATTGACAGTAATCGTGACGTGCAACTGTACTAGTTTGTAATGACCCAACACAAAGAGACACTGAATTGAATAAGTTGAATAAAAATGGTAAAAAGTTAAATTTTTACAATTTATGCAGTAAATGTGAATAGTGCTTGCTGTCTAAGTCACAGGGAACAGCTATGCACTTAAGTTTATTACTCATTGTAAATTCCAAGACTACTGCTGCATTTTCAAACAAAACACTGACACCTACTGGTGTGGATGAATTACACAAAACCAAACGCTTTCAAATACAAATGCTTTTTCTGGCGTACTTGTTGTCTACAATTAAAAATGATCTCATAGTAGGTGAGCTAACGAAATAAAGTGACTAAGTCGGTTGAGTGATCTCAAATGGCCACCATTAGGGGCGACCCGCTTCATGTAGAATATGTAAGTCTCATGCGAGTGTACGCACATTTTTAAACAGACGTAAGCCAAAGTACTACTACAAAAGTTTTTCTTTTAATACTTTTATAATTTATTATGTAAATATGAGAGGTGATTGCCCTGTAAAAGTTGCCTACACGATGCTAAGGTGTTCTAGTGCCCAGTCCCATGTTTCTACAATGTTCTGGTCTATAGATATGGCTCGGGGGTTGATCTTTCAAAGTAAATCAATGGGTTTTTCACCCTTTTTATGAAAATTATAGAGTTCGGTCTTTAAGAAAAGTGCATGATTTGACAAACTGCATTTCAGTCATGTCTGTAGCATAAACCGTGTGACATTAAACTGACACCTACTGGTGTGGATGAATCAGGCAAGAAGGAAAGTTTTCAGCAGTGTTGTGGGCTACTTTTATTTCTGCTGCCGAGGGTTGTTTTTTTTAATCTGCGGGTTGAACCAAAAACCCTCCACCCCAAAACGATATTTCAACCAAGGTTGAACCTCCTGGAAAGAGGTTTTGACCCCCTAGAATGCGATTTTGGAGTGGTTTATATAACCATTTCATCTGGAACACAATTGGGCTAGTTTTGAGTACCATTTGACCCTTCACAAAGACACGACCTCCTTAGTTACTGTTGCTATGTCCGACAAGCCATGCCGCTCTCACACTGCACTTCATGTTCCCACGCAATGAAAAATACATCGTGGAGCAAAGAGGAAACTTAAAACACGCCGACAGACAAGACAGAGTAGGTTTCTTCTGGTATGAAACAAGTCTCAGTATTGCCTCAGCAGCACATGAACAGAACCGTCTTTTCATATGTACTTAAAGCATGAAAAAAATATGAATGAACATCAGAACATATTTTATTTAAACTGCAGAAAAACGTAAATACAATTTTTCAAGTTTAAGTCCACCGAAGTAAAGTGATTTGTTTTTGGCTGGTCACTCTATGTAGAATATAAGTTTCGTGTGCATCAATTTTTAAACACATTTGTCAAAAATAGTACTAAAGTTTTGAAGGAAAACCTTTTAAAAATACATTAGGTAGATAATTTATATGGTCATAATACTTACACTTCTGTAATCTTTGTGTAGTTTTTTGTACTGGAACATGTTGCTCAGCACTGTTGCCGCTGCTTTAGCAGCTTTCAGTTTAGCAGGGCTGGATGAAAAAATGTAAATTGTAATGTTACTTTGGAAGCAATATCATTTTGTGTTGATTTTCGTTGTGTATTTGGATGACTTCAAGTTTTACCTGCTGTCATGAGATGTCTTGATGCCCACTAGCTTGGGCAGACCATCGAAGAAGGCGATGTCTCGTGCAGCCACCATGCTGCTGGTCACCAGGTTGTTGAGGGTTCCACAGGTGTTTAGCACCACATCACTGGATGGCTCCTTCTGGCGGCCATCGGAGGGCAGTTTGGCAAGCAAGGGATTTACCACCTTTGTGGCTAAAACGAAAGACACAGAACAATGAGCTTCTCTAATGCCACAGAGGTGCGATGGACTGAAGTTTTGTGGCTAGAGAAGGAAGCCTTACCCATGTCATTCTTGTCCTTGGCGTGACGGGAGAGGTTTCTGAGGAAGCCCGTGAGAGAACGCAGCTCGAGATCATTGTTGGTCCTGAGGAGATCCATAATGACAGGCAACATCCTATTCTGCTCCAACGCCACACAACTCAAGATGGACGCCCACTGAAACATAAAAGAGAAGTTTCATTGTTAAAATAAATCCAAATATCTGTCATGGAACTCTAGATGGCGCAGTCTGATAGGTCTAACACATAATGACATCATCACATGGTGCAGCAATTGTAGCTGATTCTTTTTGTATCAGCAGCCTATGAGCTTGCTGTTCAACATTCAAAGAGGTGGCTAGTGTTTGCTGTAGCAGTTGCAGCACGCTTCAGAAACCCTACACCTTCCCCAGCTCCACCTGTATAGAACTGCTACAGGGTGATTTATGTATGCTATATAGGGGGTTATTTCATATGATATATGTGCAGCAGATGTATTGGCAGTAGCAAGTCTCGGTACATGCTCTACCGCAGCAGCGTAGCAGATCTACTCCGCCAAGACCAAACACATTAAAGGTGCACTAAGCAATTTTGAGCTTTTGACCACAGTGTCGGACCGTGTCCCAAAACACACTTGCAGTCAATCAGCAGTAAGGGGCATGTCTTATGATAGAGAGAAGAGAGCACTCAATTTGAGTATACAGGACGGATATTAGCAGATAAGATTATAGCATCATAACATTTAAAAAGAAGGTTTACGATCAGACAAGAGGCAGGACCTGCGTAAATATCGGAGCAGCTTTCCAGCGGTGGAGAGAACTCAAGGAGTGGGAAGGGCTCGAATCGGACGCAGAGGTTGCGTTGTTTCTACTTGATAGGTGAGTAACTTATCTGTGTTGGCTTTTGTTTAAATATCAATTTTACATGTCTGTGCGTCTCACGTGAATGTTTCGAATTTGAAAAGCGTGATCGGCTCGTGTGCATGATCGCATTAGAGATAATGAGTTGAGAAGGGAAAACTGGACATCGCGTTGGTTTCATACAGATTACTTTATCACAGAATATTTGTTTTGGACATTCAGAAGTAGACATTTCAAGTTTTCTATACATATATTTCTTGTGTCTTTGAGGCAAGTATTCGCTGAGTTTCAGGCTGTTTTATTTACGTCTCTGTGAAGAGAGATGACAGAGACGAAGACGGCAGAGAGCGCACCCTGTAAATTTTCTTTATTTTACAAAAGCACATTGTATGTATGACTATACACAAATAAAGGTAGACCCTTTGCAGTTTCAAATGATATCTTACTCTTATTTGTACAATCAAAAATGACAGAGTATTTTTAGTTCTTTTCGCGGTCATTAAGAAAATACGAGACCCCAGGGGGTTAAAATGCTAGCAGTGTGACGAGGCGTTTTTTATGCTAAGTGCTTTGGCTTTTTTTCCTCAGAGTTGAAGTGCAACTAGGTGTAAAACGTAGTGCTCATCACTGTCGCTTTTCAGTCAGCTGTCCAATCACAGTCGAGGAGGGGTGGGGCAACAACCAACTGTCACGCATCCTGCTTGTACTACGACTAAACAATGCGCTCACAGCTAGACATTTTCTGCTGGCTTAGATGGCTAATGTGAGGTGAATCTCTTACCCTCTTGTCTCCAGCTGTGATGTTCTGCAGGGCTCCGGCCGCGGCCTCTCGCGTTGTGGAGTTGATCTCGCAGCGATGCAGCACCTGGTTATACAGCTCCACTATCTTAGGGTGCCAGAGCCACTCAATGTCTGTGGGCTGCCGTGACACTTCTGTAAATGTGGTGAGGTCCTGATTTTGTCTCTGGAAGAAAAGACAAAATATGAGATTAAGCTGAAGTTTGAGAATGAAAATTGAAATAGGAAATTGAAAGCAGCTTCTTACATCTTTGGCCTTCTTGCTATTAGGGGTGAAGCAGCCGATAGCTTCTCCTTTTGAGGAGCTCTGAGCTCGACTCGGACCCTCCAGCCGCAGAAGCGCTGAGGGGGGAATCTCAGTGTACAGCTGATAGGACAGATTCCTCAACACACACACTGCGTTCTCCACACCCTGAGAGAGGAATACACTCATGAACGGCCATGTGAACACACATGCAGGCGGAAGCAACAACAGAGGCAGAATATAAAAAAAGAGGGTGTTACACAATTACCTTCTCCTCCACTTTAGTGTCCGGCAAGCATTTCTGAACATAGCCAACAAGAGCATTTATAAGGCCACGGGTCTCTCTCATCTGCTGTCTGGTCTTCTCGTTCACCGAGCTCAAGTTCCTGTATAAGAAAACAGAAAGATATATACAAAGATCTGGTTTCACCAGAGAAAAAAGTATATATTATATAAATACATTTTATAT